AAAACGAAAATTCCCGTATTTTGTCACAACCAGCTGTGAAATGTAGTACAATAACGTTTCATAAATTTGCATAAGCTAACGTAATTTTGGCAATGCGAAGTTTCTCATTTCAACTTCGATGATTTGAAAAGCGCCCGCACAATAGATTTAGTATGAATCAGCGATTTTGAAAAAAATAACAATTTGCATCTTATTGACTGATTGATGCAGTTGACACTACAATTATTTTCAAACTTATTAAATTACGAGCTTTCTGCCACTTCCTTTCCTGTACAATTTTGTTCGAGCTTCAATTTCTCAAAATGAGTAGTACTGATCCTCACTTGTTGATTTTCATCAGAACTTCTGATTACAGTTTTTAACTCATCGCTTTTCAACACTGAGCAAACCTTTAGATTAGTTGCTTATCGTTTGATTTATTTATATTCAAATGGTTTTTGAAATAAATTTGATTTCGAATGTAGAAATTGTCATTTATACAACTTTTCAAACAGTTCTAGTTATTGCACACTCCGTAATTGTGGAGCTCAGACCAATAACAAGTTTTGCAACAACAACAACAACAAATATGATTTAAGTAGAAAAGTAGATTTAACGGTGATTTCGAGAAATTGTACTACTATGATTCAAAACTTGATAATACCAATAAATTGAAAAACGTTTCCAAAGGATTTGCTAATGTCAGTGTTTTCAAGCGTAAATCATCGTGATGAGTCGAATCAAGAGAATAATAGTTATAGGAAAAAATGGCTAAGATGTCGTTTAATTTGTTGAACAAAACTTTTTTCTTGTACCAGCTTTAATTGTAAGTAATATTTTCATTGCATTTTCTGGCTTCCCAAGGCCCATGTTTTCACAACAGGCGTCTCGAAAGGGTTTCTTTGAAGAATAAAACAGTAATAAGACGATGCAAATTATTAGAGCAGTAAATTTCTAACATCATTGCTGCGCTTACAAATTACAATTACAGTTTGGAAGACTTATGTTTTAGCGATGAGGCC